TAAAATAGTACTCAATCAAAATTTGTCGGGTGTTCAAGTCACGGATCAACTGAATTTTATTGGATTTTTATTCATTTTGATCTGCCAGTTTCCAACTTAATCAGGTTTTCAGTCCATCTGTCATGGCGGTTCGAATTTAGTAACTATAGACGTAGATGGGTCTTCAAAATCGCAGGCGTGGGCGGGGGATGGAGATGTTACAATACAGACGAATTAGCATTCAGCAACACTTTTTCTTCAGTCTCGTGACTAGAGGCAGTATACGACATTATCATGACATCGCCCTACCGTGGTCGGTGCCTTATTCCTTTCTGCTCACTACTTTTAGGGCACGTGGAGTACTTGAAGGAGCCCCATCCCAGGGCCTTTCCGACGGGGATTGGCAAAGCTTTTTGAGTCTGATGATCTTCGCAACCCCTGGCAAATTGCAAAATAAAATGAGGGTTGCTGCACACACGGCAATTGCTCAAGTTTAATTTCAAAAACAAATCGCATCCGTTTCTCCTTCCACGTGGTACTTTTCTTCCATCTTTCTCTGCAAATTGCCTTATTTAAATATAAAATCAGAAGGGAATCACCATTAGCTTTACAACAACGAATCATGCATCCAAATTAAAGGTCAAGAAGATAACCACAATGACCAGATCAGACGTCGCCCTAAGGTGTCACTGGCATGCCTAATCTTCAGCCATCGATACAAGTAAAATCAGCATCCACTCTATTTGTTCCTGTGATTTCGCGAAAGTAACCAATTCTTGTAGCAGCTGCATTGAGTCATGGCCAACACTAGTGAAGAGTCAACTGTCTCACGAGTTAGTTCCTCCACAAAAAGGTTATATAATTCTATGTGTGGCGTCCATTGATTGGGACGGAATCTTTGAATAGATGTTAGACTGGCCCAGCAATGAAAGTTCTTCCGGAGACAGCATTAGGGAACCATTGCTCAAGTAGTTTCCAGAAGCTCGTGCCCTACATAATAATAAATTGTAACTAAATTAACCTTGTGGTGATGACCGGGAAAGATTACTGGTATTAAGAGGGTTTCAGTAATTCTCGCACCACAGGCACGTACCTCCGTCCTTTTGTCCTGACAATGCTTGCTGATAATCGAGAAGTATCTGATCTTGCAATGTGGCACAGCGAAGATTGATATTCATAGAATGCATCACCTTTCATCGTCATATATGCTCGTGAAGGGACTATGGACTCGATTATATCACGAAGGCTTGACTGCATTTCACTACTTGGAGAAAACCAAAGAGAATTGGGTTAAGAGAAAAACGCTGCAGCTAACGCAGATATTGAGTTTGGCTCACAAAGCAAGAGAAATTGCATGCAATTGACAGTGCCAAAGCAGGGCAAGTTTTGATGGCATATAACGTGGACAGTGCAATTTAATTAATTCTTTTCTTTTATTTTTTCTATTGAGGGACAGGGAATTTGGAAAAGAGAGGATAATGTATGCTTTCAATCAAAGGAAAAACTAAAATAAAGGAATAGACCTTAGAAAAGCAATGCATAAATATGCCCTGCTTGGCTAGACATTTGATAACCTATATGCCATTAGTTTCACATATTATACAGGCAATTAGGTATACATACCTAGCTTTGCTATGTCTCTTTACAAATACCATTTTAATCCAGAAATTTAAAAGAACATGGCAATGGCATGAAACCTTTGCCACGTGCACGCAATATGGAATGATTTTTAAGATTCATTGCATGGCAGTGACTTTACATTAAATGTCAGTTTTGATCTGTAATTCAAATGTGGAAATATTCAAGCCAGTCCGCAAATGATCTAACAGTATGAGCATGAGTAGAGTTGAGTTGAGCTCTATACCTATTTGACGATGTTCCATTTTCAGGTAGGCTCACCTCAGTACTCATCCCAGAATGTGAGCTCTTACTGCTCAAATTCCGTCTAACCAAGTTACCACATTCCATCATACTAGCAGTAGACAGCATCTCCCAGGTGAAATCTACTTTGGAGTCCAAACCTATTTTTAACCCGTCATTGGCAAGTTCTTTGGCATAGAAGCAAAATCCTTGCCAAGCTATTGTTGATGACATCTGCAAATGCTCATCAGACCAGCTGAATGCATCCAACACATCAGAGGAATCCTGCAAAAAATGTACCAATATGAACTAACTAGCTGAGGATAATACACAAGGAAAAAGTTTTAATTGTTAGTTCATACTAACCAAAGTTTGATGCTTTGAAAGCAATAGTTCAGCTTCTGAAATCAGATTGCTCATACCATAAGCAAGTTCTATTATCCCAGTAGCGTCTTTGACTTCTGAGGTGACAAAATGTCTTAGATCTATGTGACGATCACGAAGTTTTCTCCAAGACTCTCGTACTAAATCAGTCATCATACAGGGTCGAAATTTCTCCACTGGCTTGGATTTCTTATTGAAATCCATGCGGCTACATTCATCCAATACTTGATATTCTCTTGTAATAACTTCAGCACGTTCATTTTGAGAATCTTCCACCTCTTCATGAGATGATTCTGCGATTACATCACAAGTGCTTCCCAACATATCAGAATTATGTTGTGATATGGGTACAAACTTGTCAAGATTTTCAGTTTCAACTGGACATAGGTTGTGATTGAACTCGTTGCTCACTGAAACTTCTTCCAAAGCGTCAGCCACTGAAGTGCAATACACCCTGCTAAATGACACCTCTGTTCCACCATTAATTAGAGTTTCTGGAACAAATGTTGATTCTGGCACACATGATACATCAACTGATATGGGTGTCTCTTTTACATGCAACTCAATTGCTATATCTGGACAGTGACAACAATTTTCATCTAGTTTCTCCACTCCAGAACAAAGTTGCAGGTCAGTTGATGGACTTGAGCAGTTTTGCGTGCTTGGACAGTGAGAGGGAAATGCACCATCAGCTTCAAGGGTGACTTCACTGTTAGTATCCCTCTCTCCAATTAAGGGAACTCTGTCATTGACCAACTCATCTTCAGAATCTGAAGACATTACTACATTGAGCTTCCTTCTACCTTTTCTCTTGGAGAATGACACCAGAGTTCCTGAGGAATCAAAAACATCATATACTGCATCAAAAGGGATTTCGAAGTGATCACAATCATGATCAGAGCAATTCTGGATTAACATTGCTTCTTTCTTGGCCTCTATACTGTATTTGCCATAATTATGAATCTTCAAGTTAGTTTGCATTTCTTTATCTTCAAAATCTTCTTCTATGACCTCCATGGAAACAGAATTTGCTTCTTCCATCGCAGACAATGAATTTGTGATCTCCTTTTCAACTAGCTCAGATAAGTGAGAAGGGAAATTCCATGGCATCACTTTTGGCAATACTCTATGCCCAGCCTCAGGATCAAACTTGAGCGGGCCAAACAATCTTGGTGCTTCTCTACCTGGAAGCAGTTTTCTAATTTGTTTGCCCTGAAACCAGAACTGAAGATGCATAAAGGTTTTTCTGATATCTCCTTGACAATATTCAACTACTTGCTCTAGTAGATGAGGTTGAATGTTGACCTTCTCAGCAGAACAAACCTAGAAGTCAATAAAAACACCAATTTAAGCTGGATACAAGATTAACAGCATAGGAAAGCACATAAACAGGAAGCACATACCATATACGCGTGCCGAAGAAGCTCCTTCTCTGATGGCATCATGAAAGAAACTTCTAGCCTGTCCAGACTGGCAGGGAGGAAGAACAGGATTTTCACCTGGCAATCACCACAATCACAAGTTAGTGACACTAAGAAAAAACTACCAAAACAAATGACATGTCAAGCAACAAAAAACAATTTTAACAAGCAAACCCTACTATTGCTGGTCAGTATCACAGGCCCTTTTGCTTTTTCAGCTATTTGTTGTATTGCAGAGACAAAGCCACGGTCTTCAGTAAAAGTAATATCCACATCTTCAAAAAGAATCAAATGTTTAAGCTGTCCTCGACCACTGGCAATTGTAGTCTCCTTGGAAGCACACTTAGTAGTGGCCTCAAAGGCTCCAAGAGAATCATCCTTATTCAATGTTGGTATCACCTCAATAATCTTGCTGTCAGAATCTGGTGTCAATTTACCATCAGGAAGGACTGGGGGAAATTTTGCAATTTTGTTGCTCTGTGGTTCCACATGAATTTCCTGTGACCTGGAACAAATACACTGTATATTGTAGAATAGAGGATTATATTCTCAATGGTTGACTAGTTTAGGTTTTAATTACTGTATGTTGTAAAAGAAGTTAAAAGATATATGTGCATTGCTGCTGAATATTGACAAACCATTCAAGGGAATGTGATTCTAATGCCTCTCCAAATCTTTGCTTCACCACAGCTCCATTTCGACATTCTGATGCATTGACCTGAGGATGATGATATGAAAAAACATTTAGTTTTCACTTTACAGGCTACAGTGATCATGTTATGCTATCCACTCTAAGGATGAAAAACCATATGCAGTCATGAAAAAAATTGTAAGGATGCAATGTTTATCATGGCATCTAAGATCGTCCCCGAAAATGATGCACAGAAAACTGTAATGCAGTTCTGAAAATTAGTGTTTAAGCAGCACCTCTAGAACTTTGAATCCTTCTTCCTTCGCACAAGCATAGATAGCAGCAGACTTCCCACTCTGCAATAAAAGGCCATGCGTTAACTACAGTGATGGAACTAAAATTTGCATTAAACTAATACCAACACACATTACATTATGGACATTCTTATACAGTATAACAGTTCATTGTTTAGTATTGAAAAGAAACTCCATCAAAAACTCCAATAACAACACATTAGCATCCTCTAAAGTGGAATGTGACCAAGAATAGGCCATACCCAAATTGTAAAACATAAAAGAGAAAAGAATCCATATGAACAGAATTATCAGAATGATTCCACGGAACAGTGGTAGGGCTGAAATCTTACCCTGACCTGAAGCAAACTATAAACAATTCCAGTAAAGAATCCAAGGAGCTAATGAATAACTGTATAGCATGCTGACAAAAGCATTTGACTGAAGAATCCTAGAAACCTTCCCCTTTTTTTTTTTGGAGAACAAACAAAATGAAACAGAAAACTTCTTATTTCCTCCTTTATGAATTGCAACCAAGAGGAACTTTCATATGGAATTCCACAGCTAATTTCTTTCCACAGGAACCTCAAAAAAACAAGCAGTAGGAATCCGTGAGGTATTGAGAGGGAATTGATTCATACCCCAGCTGGTCCAGTGATCAAGAGAACATTCTTAAGGCTGGCCCCTTCATTAGTATTTTCTGAATCAGAGTCACTTTGAGAACAGGTATAATCAGCATCTTGTCTATCATGTACATCACCACTGAAGGTATCTGTGCTGGCTTGATGACCTCTTTGTTTCCAAGAACAAAGCCACTCACTCAAAAGTTTCACTGATTCATCATTTCCACATACCTGCAGAATTTTCGGAAGAAGTATTACAGAAAGGAAAAAAATAATTCCTGTAACAAAGACTAGCAAGAAGATAGAAGTAGATTAAAAACGTCTGACCTCAGTGGCCTTCTTTGGTTGGTACTTATCCATCCACAATCTATCCTCAAGCTGATTAGTGCAACTAAGGTATGATGAGTCAGTCCTACAATATCAGCAATATAATGAAAAGGACGTTACCTCTCTAAATGTACTAACTAACTGAAACTAGTCAGATAAAAGCAGCAGCCAAAAACTAGCATCTATGCAACAAGGTCAAAACTAATTTATGATAAGACAACCAACATGTTTGGGGCTAAGCGATGTTAGCAGCAAGTATCGAATATGACAGCTATGATATTATCATCACAAGATTCATAAACCAGCTTGACCAACAACATGTTCTGCAATTTAACCCTAAATATTGATGGCGAAGGGAAATTATATCTCGTATATAATAAAGTAGAAGTGGAATGTTTGCTTATCATCATTTGAGAATGCTAAAAAAGGTTCGGGTACTTGGAAGTTGGTATTTTGCATTTAATGTAGTTTGCTTATGGTTATCACAATTCATATAATCAAACTTCCAGCATTTGTAAAACTATCCATTCATTAAGGACCTTTCCAGTGCTCCTTTCAGCCATAAGAATCTGAATCAGCAAACAAGAACAGGAATGCTTATACATATGATGCAGCTGAAAGAACTGATCCCTTGAAGCTACAACTACAAGCATCAGCATGAATGAGTTCAAAAGCCTTACCAAAGATGTTACTCTGCAATTCAAGGACTATGTTTACAACAGTAGTACACACTGAACAAAGTGTAGCTACAGTTACAGAAGTCATCAATTCACATGCAAACAGCACATGGCTAAGTGAGTAAAACAAATAGGATTGCCAATGATGATCCAAACCTTTCTTGAAGAAGGTCACTTTGCTGCTTGGCATCTGATTTTCTTGTACAGCCAGAAAAGAAACCAACTTCAACAACCTTACAGTCCTGCAAGTAACACATTTATAATCTCAAAAATAGGAATGTGAGATGCAGAGTTGCATAACAATCTGAATTACGGTGAGAACAAATAAAGATGCAAGATACTTAACAGGTGTTGCTTCACATATGATTTCTGTATCCTTAAACTGACAGCATCCCACCTGCACATCTGATGATGTGGAAGAGAATATTGCTGATGCCTCGCACCCAAATTCTTGTCGACAAAGGCATTGATCCAAAGATGCATTATCTTGAAGAAGTGATGTACTGGGAGGATGTGACGCACAGGGGAAGTCATTTATGTCTAGCGATCCAATGAAGCCTTCAAAGTTTGATGAGGCGGGGCCTTCTAGACTACAGCTGCTATTGGCAAATGGTTCCTCACAAACTTTCCAATCACTCCAATCAAGAGGCCTTGCATCATGCTACATAGCAATCTTCAAGTTTCAGTTGATGTGAGTTAAAAGTAAAAACAAATGCTAGCTTTGAACACCATTGATGGAACAAGAGTGATTTGAAAGCTGATTTTGATGTTCAGTAATTCACGCAAGGTCAGAGCTGGACGTGTTGCTTGCAATGGGAGAGGGGATTTTGAAAAAATAAAAAATTTAAGATTTGATGTTTTATGGACATCCATAGATAGATAAACTATAGCAAGCCCTGCAAAACTTTGATACACACACATAAACAATATCCCTAAATCCCAATATGTGTATCATTTTCATACTTACTTGGGTCCTGCAGTTAAAATTCAACATAGCCATATAGCTCTACCCTACAAGGATGCATGGCCAATGGATGATGCATACCTGATCCCTTTCAAAGACGTGAATAGGACCAATATTGATGTTTTTATCTTTTATCTTGGCCGAGCAATAGTTACTTTCTGATTCAGTTGTTTTGTTGCATCTCTTACTCACTTTCCATGATGTGAAAAAGGGGTGTATTTGCTTCCCAGCAAACAATCGTGAATTTTCCTGATAAAACACAATAGAAGTTAATAGTGTTACCCACCGATTCACTTCAGCAGATATTGAAAAGAGTTTAACTTTTAGTTTTAAGCATTTTCAACTTCCAAACCAAAGTCTGATTGTAACTGAACTCCATAAGCATCATGGAGTCTCACCAGTTAATAGCTGCTAAACCCTCATGGAGAAAGTGCATAAATATTATATATATATATATAAACACTTTTTTTTCTAGAATTCATGGTAACAAGATAACTAACCTCGGCTGTCATCTTGGCCTCTAACCTCAAATTAGGGATTGGTGGTGATGCATCCTTGTTCTCTATCAGATTACCAAAACCTTTTCCATTACTGGAGCCATGTGACTTCTCCCTTGACTGTTGAATAAAACAAATAAATAGAGCACATAAATTGACTGCAAAAATCAAAATGATTCCCACACGAAGCCAGTCAAATCACCAAAAACTTAACCACTTCATGCTTATACACGGCTAATTTTAATTGTACCTTTTTAGGAGTTATACTTTGTGGAGTTGCCTTTCCTTTCCGTGTGTCCTTCTTCTGAATCCCACAGTATTCTTCCCCTTCACTTTCGCCATCCCCACAGACAGCACTATATTCTTTACCGCGTTTCTGATCACAGCTGAATTCCGTCTCCGGTGATTTGTGCGGTAGCTGCTTAGACTGTTTGACAAAAGAACTCGGTATCAAAAAAATGCAACAAGCTGATGGTGTAAAAACTAAGCTAAAATAATGAATAATTCTCACACTAACCAGTCATATTAACAAAGATTTAAGCAATGCATACCGTATCTAAATTACAGCCAGTTTTAATTTTACCATTTTAGGAGTTCTGGTTTGTGGAGTTGTCTTTCCCTTACGCGTTCTCTTCTTCTTATTTTGACTCCCACGACACTCCTTGGCTTGATAATCGTCATCCTCACTGTTACATTTTTTATCGAGCTTTAGTTCGTTATTTTCTGGTGATCTATGAGGGAACAGCGTGGACTGTACAAGTCTCCGGCGAACACTCCTCCGCTCCGGCTGCGGAATCTCTTCAGCTGCGGCCACCACTGGTCCGTCTCCATCGGCTGATCTATCCATGCTAAATTACGATAATTAAGTGATTTGATTTTAGGGTTTTTGACGATTTGGGGGTTTTGTTGATATAGAGAGAGAGAAATGGAGGGAAAGGGGCTTTGTTGCAGCCTCTAGAGCAGGATTGTATTTGTTTGGAAATGGGCATGTACTGTAAAACAAACGAATCTCTAATCTAATGCCAGGGGATTTTTTATTTTCTTTTTCTTTTCCTTTTCTGTTTTTTCTCGTTTGAACGTTGCCCGCCATCTTTTGCTGGGCTTTGATATCATGCCGGAAACTTTTTTCCCGCGCGCTCGATGCTGCGCTTTCTTTGTTACGAAGTCTTGTAAAGAGTTGTGATCGGTGTTTTTTAAAATATTTTTTTATTTATAAATATATTAAAAACATATTTTATTAAAAAAATTATTTTATATATTAAAACTATTCAAAAATATTAAAAATAATTAATTTAAATTAAAAATTAAATTAAATTTTTATAAAAATTATATTGAAGCATATCCATAAACCCAAATGGATATTTAATGGGAAAATCTTAAACAGGAAATTTAGGAGCTTGATTTTAAACAGCACAGTAATAAAAAATATTCTGTAAGGTAAAACAATAAAAAAAATAGAAAAATAATACATTTTATCTGTCACTCCTTCAATTTACCTTTTTTTATTTATTTAACTCTTTGGCATTGCAATAATGTTGGTTTAGGTTTTTCTAGGTTGTTTTGTATGTCTATGAACAGGGATTTTGAGGAATCGGAAAAATATTTTGCTGCTCGATTTCATATTATAAAATATAATTTTTTTGGATTATAATAATTAAAAGTTAAGGAATTAAATTTGATGTTTTAAAAACTTTTGAGCACCTTTAATTTTGTCCGATTAAGGACTAGTATGCATGGGTAAGGCAAATATTTATGTCCTTCTTTTTTTTTTAATTTTGGTTAATGTTCTTCCTCTCTTTTAATTTTGATCCTTTTATTTTTTTTCAATTTACTTGATAGTTTATTTTTTTTTACTAGGATACACCGGTCTCGATGTTTATAAAAAGTTTTGGTGTTTAATTAATACTTAGTTTATCAAAAATATATTTAAATTATATTGATTTAGAGCAATTAAAGATTAAAAGACTAAGTTTGATAATAAAACAAATAAGGAGGGCTTGAAGTTAATGGGAAAGTTTTAAATAGTTACTGCATGTATTACATATGAGAAAGAGTTAGGAAAGACGTGGTGCTTTAACGACGCATGCAACATTCTATAATGGCCAGATCAGGGCTTCTATGATGGCGATCAATGTGGCTCAACATTCACTTCTTGTGTATTTTCTTTGATTGATTTAGATCGTTTTTTTTTTAATTTTGAACTTCCTTGTTGGATTGGCTTTGAACTAGGCTTCATCGTTTTTTTTTTTATTAATGCTTTTTTTTTCTTCAGGTTCTCATTAAATTTTTTCTTAGTTAGTCCATTTATTATCGTTGAATTTTCTCTTATTACTTAATTAAATAATACCAACTTATTTAATTCTATTGGATTTATAACCTGAATTGTAGATTTTATTTTCTTATTTGTAGTATATTTATATTACTCAAGATTTTTTTTTCACGTTGAAAAGAATCTTATTCAACCTTTGGCGTAATTTGAGGCCACAAATGTAAGTATTTTACTAAATAATCTTCAATTCTTTTTAATGTTAGAATTATTTATTTTACTTTAACTAGCTACAAACTTTTATGTCTTCCCTTTGCATATTAGTTTGTTATGCTAGATAAGTAGTCTGCATTATGTCGTCGTGAACTACTTTTTAATGTGTAGGAGAAGTTTCATTAATGCAATTAGTAAATGCAAACTATGAAAAAAAGATGAAGTCCCGGTTTTCAGTGTAGATGTTTGTTTAAAACTGCGATAATGTTATAAAAAGCATATTGAAATAAATTATAAGGTCTAATTTTTAATTAACCGTGTATATAAAAATAAAATTGAAAAAAACCAATAAAAACTCAATGTTAAACGATAAAAATTAAAAACAATTCTAAATATTTTAAGAAACTTTTGTAAAGTTAACTAAGACAAATCACCAATTCTAACATTAAATCAATTAAATATAGAAAAGATCAAATTAAAGAAAAAAATAAAATAACATAAAAAAGTCAGACCAAACATGCAAGTGTGGCAGTCCAACAAACTTAGGCCTTAACATAAAAAATGTTAGGCATGTGGGCCTAGGAAAGGCTCGCGGGCCTAGGAAAGGCTCGCATGCATGGACAATTTTAATTTTTTTCTTTTTCAAGAGGCATATAACTTATCATCGACCTTTTTCTAAGTTTTTTTTTTTAAAAAAAGAAGCAAATGATAAGTTATCTGCAGTGGTAGCTTGTCTGCTTGCAAAGAATTTAGCCACCATAAAGGTAATTGATAAATTAGGAGAATGTTTTACAACCTAAAAATTTATTTCAACTCATTTTCATAATAAAACACTTAATAAATACCCTGAAACCCTAAAAAATCAATCTAACAGCCTAAAAAGGTCAAAACACATAGAATCAAATTGGTAAAAAACTCTCCCTTCATCCCAAATTATTTTCTTAGGTCATATGAAAGTTACAAAAAACCTTAATGGCACTTTTCTCATCAAGAAAAAAAATTTGATACCAAGTTCGCCCCTTTTCTGATCAGAATCAGACTAACTAACCTTTTTTTTTCTCTCTCATTATTTTCTAGTAATACTCTCTTCTCTCTCAAGCAATTTTCATTATACACAATGGTAATCATCATGTCAAAAATTAATTGTCTTATATATTCATATTTTAAGCTGATATGTCTATATTTTTCATTGTAAATCTTACTTAATGTCTTAGACATGGTTGTTTGACTATCATTATGCAAGAAGATATATGGCATTGGTTGTGACCATAACTTAACATCCAATTATATATTTTTCAGCTATTTTATCTCTTTTCCTATGGCTATTAGAGTTATGAACTCGAATTCCATTGTAGAATGAGTTATACATGTTTGTTTTTTTAAGGTCAAGAAACAACACCACCATAAAAAATAAATACTTGTTTAGAGGTTGAGTTAATATTAGTTGCATTAGTTATTAACTAGCATTATTATAATATTTAAGTATAGCTAGAAAAATATTATAAAATAATCCAAAATGCATAGTTCTTTTCAAGTAACCAAATACTCTTATACTTGATTTCCAATTATCTAAACTAGAATTGCTTGTGTATCTGGACAATTTGCATACCGTGAAAGCAATATCTAGTATAGTAATGCATGACATATATTAAGTTGTCAATTGCACTAGCATATTCAATATGAGCGATTAATTTACTTGTATTTTCTGTTAATTTAAAGGAAACATCCAATAAAGTATTTGATTTTTTTATATTCAGATGATTAAATTTATTTAAGACTTTCTCGATATAATAAGATTGACAAAGAGCGAAACCATCCACTATGTTTTCTTACCTTGATGCCTAAAATTGTATATATCTCATTTAAGTCCTTCATTTTAAACTTTTAAGTTATATATTTCCTCATAAAATTGTATATAAAATAGTCCTTCATTTTTTTATATTCAGATGATTAAATTGTATTTTCTTTTGAAAACCTGTTTACATCTAAACTAACTTGAAACTTGAAAGTAAATCAACAATAGTTCAAGTATTTTTATATAATAATGAATCCATCTCATCATTAACTGTCTATTTCTAAAAACCAACATCTGAAGACATCATTGTTTCTTTATATGTTTTAGGGTCATCTTCTAGTGTTAATAAAATTGGTATCTTATTAAGCATATCGATTCTATTACCTTCAACTAAAAAACCAATAGACTATGAAGATATATAATCCAGGTATAAATTCTTTTCTTTTCTAGCACGTTGACTTGTTCCAAGTTCAATAGGATGATCAATTTGAATTCTTTTACTTCTACAATTTGTATTATTTGTTGATTTTATTTTACTTTTAGAATTATTGATTCTTTCACTAATTGAATTTGAATCAATTTGAAACTTATTTTCAATAAACATAAAATCTCTAGATTTCATAATTGCATTAGAACTCAAATCAAATATTCTATATGCTTTTGAATTTTTACCATAGCTAATAAAATTTTCCTTTAAAACTTAACTTTAGGTCTTAATTTTATCCCTCTAGGATCTGAAACTCTATAAAAGGCAAGACAACCTTAAACTCTAGAATAATTTAAGTTTGTTTTTCTTGTCTTTTTATAATTTGTATGAAAAAAATTTTAATTTTCTAGAAGAAATTCTACAAGCAGTGAATAAAGCTTTATCCCACAAACTAATAAGCAACTTGGCATTCACTAACATTTAAGCATATCAACAAGTGATTTTTCCTTTAAAATCTTTCTTTAAAATTTTAGGTCTTAATTTCATCCCTCTAGGATCTGAAACTCTATAAAAGATAAGGCAACCCCAAACTCTAAAATAATTTAAGTTTGTTTTTCTTTTCTTCTATAATTTGTATGAAGAAACTTTTAATTTTCTAGAAGAAATTCCAGTATATACATGACAAGTAGTGAGTAAAATTCCCCCTACAAACTAGTAAGCAACTTGGCATTCTCTAACATTTAAGTATATCAACAAGTGTTTTTTTTATGCTAAGTCTTTTTGGTAGGGTGTATATAGAACACTAGTTTGATGTATGATTCTATTTTCTTCATAATATGAAGAAAATTCCATGGAACTCATCACCTTTGTCACTCTTTAGAATTTTAATTTTCTTTCCCTTTTAGTTTTCAACTTCTAATTTATAATTCTTAAACATTTAAAAAGGTTGATATTTATGTTTCATTAAATAAACATAATATTTACTCCTCTAGTTAAGATGTCAAAGATAAAGATAACTCAATCATATAAATAAAAATATTAACTTTATTATTAATACCGAGTTGTAACATTCCATCACATGAGTAACTCTTTCTCATAAAAAGTTTACTTTTAGATAGGATAATTTTATTAGACTAAAACAATTTTAAAACCCTTTGTACTTTTTATAAAGCAAATTTGTATATATAAGATTTTTCTTTATATCTAGTACATGTAAGACATTGACTAACAATATTTTCTTTTTAGAAGTGAAATTTAGTATAAAACATATTTTCTTATCACTTTTATTGGAAATTTTTGTCTATCTTCTACAACCTCACACTATTTGAAATGGTTTTTGTTGTTGCATACATGGATGGTTGTATCAAAATCATACGACCTGTCATTAAACATGATACTTACAACCATATAAAGTCCAATA